CCTGGCCCTCGTGCGCTGTCTGGGCTGCCTGACAGCAGTGATTCTCAAGTGGCAACTGGGGCTGTGTGACAGGCCAGGTGACAGATACACAGTGCCCTGCAGGTGTCTCTGCCAACTGAAAACAAAACTGTTTTTTAACTGTTTAGGAAAGTGGAGTGGCCAATCATCCAGCTTTTAAATGTCCCCAAATAGGGGAGAGAAACATTCTATCACCCCTCACCATCAAGAGAAGACACACATATTCTCTGAATATGTTTGACAGAAAGGGGAGGGGGGAGAGATAGGGAGCCCAGAGACGAAGGAGATATGTATCTGGGTCACTGAGATGCTGGGACGATAGCCTTGAGGACCAGATGCTTGGAGAGGCTTGCAAATAGTCTCTGGTCCGCTGCCAGTGGTCAGGACCCTAAGGCACAGCAGAGAGCAGCCCTGGCTTGAGGAGAGGTGACAGGTCCCACAGGCCTCGGCCCACAGACCTCAGCAAGGTCACAGGAAAGCTGAGGCAGTGGGGCGCTCCGGGAGCCACCAGGGTAAGGACAAGAGGGCAGGCTCGTGAGGGTGGCTGGAGCCAGTCTGAGACAGTCTCTGCTGTCACACCCTGTCCCTCTGAGCGAATAAAGGGCCCTCCAGGGAAGGGAGAAGGATGGAGCCTCGAGGCAGCATCCAAAACAGTGGCTTGGAGGAGAGAGGCCACTTCTGAGCAAACACAAATGCAAGCACCTACTGGGACAGACTTAGGCTCTTGGGGCCCTGGAGTCACGTGCTCCCCTGGGCATCTGTCCCCTCCGGCTCACTGTCCCTCTCTTGCCTCACAGCTGAATATTCCAGGTCTCCTCTGGCTTTGTCCTTTTTTGTCACTGAGGATAAACAGGGATGAACCACAGCAAGCACCCACCTACATGACAAAAGGAAGTTTCAGCCAGCCTGTGGATCTAGAGTGCTTTCCCTCACATTATCACATTCTGGGCTCACAACCACTAAGTGAGCTCAGGATTATTAATTGCACACCATGAAGGTAGAAATTTAAACTTGAAAGTGTTGAAGAGATCATTGCAAAGTCACCCAGTTACTCAGTCACAGAGCTGGGAAGTCAAATGTGGTCATTTAATCCCAACTAAAATCCTCTCTCCAACAAAATAACAAGCAGTTACTATTTATTGAGCATTTACAATGTGCCATGCCTTATGCTATGTTCCTCCCACACTTAAATTTAGTTTACCTTCATGAAAATGTAGTGTGTGTCCATATTAGGGATGAGGAAAACTGAGGCACTGGGAGGTCAAGCAATTGCTGGAGGTCATGGAGCTGTAGTACATAATAGCAACCTAAACTTTTGCTATTCCTGCTTCATCACAAATCATGAACTTAGTATAAGAAACAAAGTAATAAACAGGTCAGGACCCCAACAGAAAATCTGGGAAGTACAGAGTCAACAAACAGGACTCTGGCAAGGGATGATTATTCAAAATCTGGAAAACTGTAGGTGTCAGACATTCAATCTAGTCAGGCAAAGAACCAATTCAACTCACTTTAGGATCAGTGACAGGAGTGGCCAGAGCCTGGAGAAACAGCACACTCCAAAGTATTCAAGTGAAAAAACTGAACAAAGAGACTCAGCACTAAGGTCTAGGCAGGATTACAGGAAAATATTGGGGTGGTGAGGTCCGGAGTTCACAAACACAGAGAGCTATTACAGCCTCCAGAGCTGAAGTGGATGTAGTAGTCAGCTTTCCATCACTGTGACAAAATACTAGAGATAATCAACTTATAAAGAGGAAAGATTCCTTTGGGCTCATGGCTTCAGAGGTCTCGGAGCACTGTCACTTGCTCTTGGGCCTGTGGGAAGGGAGCACTTTCCACCATGGAGCACATGGTAAAGGGGGATTCTCAACTCATGGCAACCTGAAAACAAAAGAGAAAGAGGTGGAGTCCCACAGAGCTCTTGAAGGCCACGCCTCCAGTGACCTAAAGGCTCTCATTGGGCCCCGCCTCTTAAAGGTCCTCCATCTCCCACTAGCATCAAGCTAAGGACCAAGCCTCTGACACATAGGTCCTTGGACCACACTCAGGATCCAAACCATCCCACAGCAAAAGGAAGGACAGTGTCACAGGAGCCCAGTGGCCACTGCAGCTGGGAGAGGACAGCTTCCCAGGTACTGTGGCACCCAGCCACCTCCCCTGGGGCTCCCTCCACCATCCTGTCCCCTGCAGGTGCACAGTCCTCAGGAAGCAGCTGGAAGATAGTCTGCAATGCACCTGTGACACTGTGCATGGAGCTGCACCCCTCAGGCCACTGTGGGGGTAGCAAAAAGGGAGAGACTGAGAACACCAGGGTGGGGGAAAGAACCAGACCAGGACTGAGCCCTCCACACCAGCCCTGCACGCACAATGGCTTAGCTGAAGCCAGACAGTAGTGAGCACCAACTGCACCTCAGCAGACACAACCCAGGCCCACGTTTTCTCTGAAAATGTGAAGTGTGCTCCAGTGTCTCCTGCATTTCTTTTCTGGGAGACTGCACAGTCTTCCCTTCTTAGGGAGCTCATCGGAGCCCACAGTGCCTTCCAGCCAAGCCTCCTACCACAAAAGAACATGTTAGTCATGTTCTTCCCTCAGTTAGTCTATGCTACAGAAATTTCACTTCTGGGGCTGGGGATTTAGCTCAGCGGCATAAGCGCCTGCCTTGCAAGCAGGCAGTTGTGAGTTCGATCCCTGGTACCGATAAAACGAAAAAGACAAAAAAAAAAAAAAACAAAAAAAAAAGAAAAGAAAGAAATTTCACTTCTGCATTCAGAGATGTTCCTTGATTTAGGATGGGGATCAGATTATACAAATAGTTGAAAATGTTTTAAATTTAAAATTCATTTAATCAGCTGGGCATGGGGGCACACACCTGTAATCCCAGCACTCTGGGAGGCTAAACCAGGAGCATCACAAATTCCAGACCAGCCTGGGCAACTTAGCAACTTAGTGAGACCCTGTCTCAAAATAAAAAAGAGGGGCCTGGGATTGTAGCTCAGTGCAAAGGCCCTGGATTCAGTTCTCATAGAGGAAAAAAAACCTACAATACACCTCGGCCACATGACACACTCTGAGGAATGTCAGCCCCACCCAGCATCACAAGGGGCTATCAAATAGCCTATCACTAGCTTGGGAAATGATCCAAATTCCAAAAAGTGCAGTTCTACGGGGTGCCTTTCGCTTTCACACCCTTGTGAAGATGAAAACCCTAAGACTAACCATCCTAAGTCAGGGACTGCTTCTATACCCAAAGGCAAGAAAATACGGCACCAAAATATCTGAAGAGAGCTGCTCACATCATGGAGCCCAGGAAGCAGGGAGAGATAGGAGGAGCGGGGCTGAACGACCATTTCAGATCACACCCCAGTGATCCACGTCTAACCAGGCTCCGCTTCACAAGGACACACTCAGCTGTTGAACTCACGGGTGGGTGAATGCACCCACAAACACAGCATCCTTCCCAAAAACGTCACCTCTGGGATAAGGATTTAGCTCAGCGGCTTAAGTGCCTGCCTGGTAAGCCTGAGGTTGTGAGTTCAATCCCGGGTACCAAAAAAAAAAAAAAAAAAAGAGCCCCACCTCTGTGTGCATACAAGGCTACTAAATGGGGATTCTTTGATCTAAACTATAACAAATATTATTCTACCATAAAAATGTTGTCAATTGTAACAGCACAGATGAACAGGAAAGACATCTTGCAGGACGAAATAAGCCAGACATAGACACATATTGTCCGAGCTCCTCAAAATGTCCTATTTTTACAGAAGCAGAGAGCAGCAGGAGGTCATCAAAGGCATTGGGGAGCCAGGAAAAGGGGAGACCTTGGTCAAGGGATCCAGATTTCCAGTGATAACAGCACTAAGTCCAGGGGATTGGATGCCCAACCTGGGGACCGTAGTCCATAGCGTTTACTGAGAGATGAGATCTTAGAGCCTCTCACAGTGCAAAGTACAAAACTATGGTATCCATGCAAGGTGACAGAGGTGTTAATTAACTTGATTGTGACAATCACTTCACAGTGTAGGCGGGTATCAAATTATCACTTTGTACACCTTAAATTTATACTTTTGTCAGTTATGTCTCAATCAAACCAGAAAAAACTCTCCCCAATTAAAGAGTCGAAGCAGCATCCCAGAGCTGTGTTCTCCTCTGCCCCTGCCTTTGCCCTTAGCTACTCTCAGTTTTCTTTTTTCTATTTTTTTTAATAAAGAGATTTGTTTCGAGAAGGCGGCAAGAACAAAGCACACGCCAATTTCCAGGCAGGCTGCACACACATGGTCCTGGGGCAGCGAGAGCCTGGTTGTCACACAAGCAGAGGTGACAGCAACTGCACCAGCACCTCTGACGGGGCGACACTCCTTAGGCTGATGGAGGAGAGAAGGGCAGAGGGTGGGAGCCGAGACCCAGCCATCTGTCACTGTGGAAAGAGGGAAGAATAGGCTTTGTTCTGATCATCAGGGAAATGGAACGAGTAGACACACATTAAAGCAAACAAACCAAAAGAATTAATAATAAAACCACCAAACAAACAAAGAAAACCAAGCTGGGTGCAGTGATACATGTCTATAATTCTAAAACTCTGGAAGGCTGAGGCAGAAGGATCTCAAGTTCCAGCCCAGCCTAGGCAACTTAGTGACTTAGTGATTCTCTGTCTCAAAATTTTTTAAAAATTTAAAAAGAAAAGAACTGGGGTTGAAGCTCAGTGCAGCAGCCCTGGATTTCACTTCCAGTGTCCCAAACAACAACAACAACCTCCAAGGCCTGAAAAAAAGCCCCCAGAATAGCGCACAGTTTACAACCAAGCCCTAAAGTCTCCAGCAGTGCGGGGTGCCCCCCTACAGCATATGACCAGGCCTTTAAAAAGCCCAAATCTCAAGGCTCAAGTGTCACCTGCGCTGTGGTGACTTAGGGAGGGAGGCAGATTGGAAGAGGAGCCTGCATTATTTTTAGCAATGAAAAGAGACTTTATTTAGATTGGGAAAGGACTTTCCCCTTGTGTCCCCTGTCACTCTGAGTCACCTCCCATGGCACCTTAACTTCGGAATCCTGACGCTGCTTGACAAGAAGAATGGCCCTCAGGTGGAGAAGGATTTTACCAGATGCCAAGAGAGGCTGAGGTCTGTATTTATTTATTTATTTTATTTTTTAAAAATTTTATTTAAAGAAAAACTAAACAAAACAGAAAACAGGTAGAAATAATACATACTTTCATAGAAAAAATAAACACTAGAAATCACTAGTTGATGATTACAGATTGTCCTCTTACAAATAGTTATTCAAGATACTAAAATGGAGCATATAAAGTGGGGATTCAAACAGTGAGACTGCAACCAGTTCTGTTCAACTATCCAACAAAAACTTAGAAATATGGTTATCAATCCTCTACACTTAAACATACATGCAGTTATCCATATCTTCAATTATGTTGAGATTGAACAAATCCAAGCAGGCTAATATCACTCTGAACAAAGAATAATACTATTGCTGGGTTTCACATTATGACACTCCAGCACTGGGTACTTTAGTGTCTCTTTTTCTTCAAAGTATTTGTTCATTTCATCATGTGTCATAAGATCAGTTCTCATAAACTGTTTATAGGTTCTACACATGCATGAGTCTCCCTCTCTATATTAGAGGGAGAAACAAAATAAAGCAAGGCAAAACAAAACATATTCCTATAAACACATGAAATGAAAAAGACATATAAGACCATTATACAAGGAGTTGTACCATAGTTCCTGTGTTGTCTCTTGTTAACTTCAATAGAATTGGCTATATCATCAGACATAGTATAATTGAATATATCACTACATAACAGTATTAATAAAAACACAACTTTGTATATAGTATAAAACTTCAAAAACAGGCAGTAATCAAACCAGAATGTGTATCATAGTGAGTCTTGTCATCCTCAGTGTAGTTGTCTGTACTCTCAGATTTGATACTATCAACCATATCAGTTTTGAATAAAATCTGTTGATACCAAACAACAATCAAACAAATCAGATTTAACTAAGATCAATCATGATAAAACAGTATAAGTCATACAGGGCTCCAGATTAAGTTAATAGGAAATTAAAGATGATTACTGTGCTATACCCTGATGTTTTTGGGATAGCTGTCTGTGCCCTCAAATCTAACGCAAGTAGACAAACTGGGACAGAATAAAATCTATCTGAGCAGAGTGGTGCAAGTAATGTGAGTTTTAAATCCTGATACACTATTAACAATATCTTCTGCCATCTTTTTTAAGACTTTCCCTCCCCTTTCACTTCCCCAGGGTACACAGTGCATTTTTGGGTCTAACCAAGAGCCTTGGTTTTAAATGGTGGGGAGGGCAACCTGCTATTTAGCTACATGGTTCTGAACCTTCTCTCTCCTGGACTTGACCTCTAGTTATATTCCTTTACCTATTAAAGCCTGTCTTTCCAACCTATCCACAAATACTGGTCTAGTTACCCCTATTACTCTCTGGTTCTCTGTCACATAGAGCATTGTTTTCTCATATTTGATTTTCAGTCCATGTACTCTTTTTCATGTTAATTATATTTCCTAAAATAGCATCTCGGTGGACCCTACCTCCTGATCTATTCTATGTGTGGTTCTTTTTTTTTTAAATTTAGTGTATCAAGGCCATCTATATTAGAGATTATAACCAACCTTCTCTGCATCATTTCTGTTATGCTCTTTTTTTGCCATCAGTTTGTCTACTTGTCTTCTTCATTCTGTTTTCTGTTCCATTCATTGAGGCCTCTCTGCCACTGTTCCTGGAATCCTAGTACTTTTCTCTCTCTCTAGAATGCCCTGTAGTATTCTCTATACAGTGGTCAAGAATTTCCCAAGTTCCTCTTTGTCTTGGAAGTATCTTGTTTCTCCACTAATTTCTAGAGACAGTTTTTCAGAATATATCAATCTGGGCTGGAGGTTATTTTCATTCTGGGCTTGGAATATTTTGCTCCAGGCTCTTCTTGAGTTGATGGTTTGTGTTGAGAAGTCTGCTGTTATTCTGATAGGCCTTCCTTTATAGGCTATCTGTTTCTTGTCTCTAACAGCTTTTAATGTTCTGTTCTTATATTGAATTTCTGGGATCTTGATTATTATATGCCTGGATGTAGCTCTGTTTTGGTTGTAGGTGGCTGGAGTTCTGTATGCCTCATATATCAGAATATCATTTCCTTTTCCCAAGTTTGGGAAGTTTTTCTTAATTATTACTGTGACTAGCCTTTGTGGTTCCTTTGTTTGTACCCCTGTTTCTTCATTCACATTCTTTATTCTCAAGTTATAGATCCTCTTGTCGTCTTTTAGCCTTTATATTGTTATTGCTTGTTTCCTTGTTATTTTTAGAAAGTTTTTCCTTTCATACTCCCACATTGCAAAACTGTCCTCCAGTTTGGATAAATCTATCCCTAGTTTCTTTCAAGAGCTTTTGCCATCTTTCCATAGAGTTTTTAATTTCCTGGTAATATCTTTAAATCTGCTTCATGTATTCTATATTTTCTTAATATTCTTCATCAAATGGTTCTCTCGTTTGAGTTCTTCATTCTTCTATCTGTGTCTTATTGAGGGGTGCTTAGCATCTCTTTTATTAATCTTCTTATATCTTGCTATACTTAGCTAAATATTTCCCTTTTGAACTCATCTATGAGGTCCTGAAGATATCTCTTTATGTCCACTGGTGCCATGTCTGATATTGCATGTTTGCAATCCACATTCTCCTTTGTATTTACCTGTCCTGGGTCAATGTTCTCAGGGTTGGGACCTGGGGACTTTTTCTTGTTGCTTCCTCTTCCCATCTTTTTTGTTTCTTCCAGAAGGCATCAGTTTCTTTCTTTGTTGGTTACAATTTTTCTGAAGCACACTGGCTAGGTGAGCCTTCCCACAGCAGTGTGTTAGTGAGTTACAAACAGGGCAGCATATGGTGGCTCCTCCGCTCCAGATCAGTCAACCTGCTGAGGCCTTCACTGCATTAGCATGCACTGCCACCATAGGGAATTGATTTCGGATAACCTATTGGGTCTCAGCCAGGTCACATGACCCAGGCCAAGCTCACTCCACCAATTCCGTTCGGAAAGGGAACAACTGACTGAAGTCACTGCTGCCCCTTGTTCCTACCAGTCCTGCCTGGTCCCAGAATGTTATCTGTTGGAGCCCCCTTCTCTGTGGAATGGTTTTACTCGTCACTCACCATAGGTCAATGCAGGTTCCCCACTAGCTCAGCTCTCCATTCAGCTCACCAACCCCAACCTCAGGGTGACTGGGTTTCCAGTGAGTTGAAGTGGCAGGATTTCGGAAGGCTCAGTAAGTCGCCGCTTCTCCAGTTGGGTGCTGCAGCGGGAGCACTGAACCTTTAGCTGTTCCAGTAATAGCACTGGGACTGTATGTTTGATTGGTTCTTCTCACCTTAGTTTCTTCTTGGGATGAGAGAATTCATCTCCCTCTGTTTGAGACTCCCCATGCTGTATTATTGAGGTCCACATTTAAAGACTAAGGCGTCCCAACTATGAGGGGGACAGAGACAGGGTGGAAGGAAGAACTGCAAAGGATCAAATCCTTGCTTAGACTTTCTTGTGTTTTTTTTTAATTTTTTATTATTTTGAAGGTAGTAAAATACAACAAAACAAGACAGAACAAAGCCAGTTGAGATAGTGCTGTGAAACTGGTACAGAACTTCACAGCAGGTTACTGGGAAAACAGTAATAGGTACCACAGTATATCTCATTAGCTTCATGATAGTTGTTCTTTCAATCAGGTGTAGCAAAATCAAATGAAATACAGAATATTATAGAACTTATCAAAACATAATATTGAATAGAGCAATACAATTAATCAGATCAAAGCAAAACAATATTTGCCTTCAAAAAGATGGTATAAGGAAACCCCCCCCCCATTTGCTATATGGTCAACCTCCCAAGAGATGCTCAGACCTCTGGCTCCCATTTGCTAAGGTGGAGTGGGCGGCAGATGGGGTGTTTGATTTTCAGCCCATGCACCAGTAGGCTCATGGTGCTTACCAGGGAAATGGGCTGGTTGGTTGGTTTCCCAGCGCCCTAAGTTCCAACATGGCATAGATCATGGGAGATGCTGGCTGGTTCTCTCCCTGGGGCAGCTGCAACTTGCTCAAGCCACAGCTGCTTACCAGGGAGTTAGTCTATCTCTTTGAATCCCTTACTTGTAGTTTTCACAAATGGCCCATGATCAAAACCAGGAACCCAATGGAGAAAAATGTCTAATTAGTCATCATAAAAATGCTCAATGAGTGCTAAGGATGGACGTGCACACCTGTAATCCCAGTCACTCAGTAGGCTGAGGCAGGAGGGTAGCAAGTTCAAGGTCACCCAAGGTAATTCAGTGAAACTCTGTCTCAAAATAAAGCTTTAAAAAGTGTGGTGGTGTAGTTAGATGGTACAGTGCTTACCTCATATGCACAAGGGCCTAGATTAAATTCCCAGTGCTGGGAAACACAGTGCCCAGCGAGGTTGGAAATCTCCCCTTTTATGAATAGCGCTCTCTGCCTCCTGGCCCCACATGTGAGCCCTATGGCTCTGCCCCAAATGCAAATCTGTTTCTGCCATTTTCCTGCTGGAAATTCTCCCACAGCTTCGCTTCCTGTGGAACAAAGAGACACACTTGTTAACGTAGTGTGGTAACTTAGTGCTTCCCACACGCAGGGCTTGATTCCAAGACCGACTGACTTCCCAGAACAGCCCTGGGCTGGAGAGGCCATCACAGCCTGACTGCGGCTATGAGGTTAGGGGGTGTTGGGGTATCAGTGACAATGACCGGTGAGTTCCCAGCACTGCTATGACACAGTGCCACGGCTCAGAGTCTATTGCTGCACTGTTCAGCAGGTCAGAAGTCCGAATCCATTTCACAGGGCTAAAAACAGGGCTGAATCCCACTGCCGGGCTGTGCTCCTGCTGGAAGAGCTAAGGCTAAATCCATCTTCTGTGGAGGATTCAGGGGGCACTGGGGATTGAACTCGGAGCCTTCATACTAGGCCATATCTCCAGTCATTTTGTAAATGTTATTTTGAGAGCGGGTCCTGCTAGGTCATTAAATACCCAGGGAGGGTTTGTGTTCTTCCTGCCTCAGCCTCCCAGAGTACTGCAATTACAGGCATGCACCACACGCCTGACCATTGCCTTGCCTCCACCACGCCCTGAGTCTGCCTGCCTTCCCTGCCACATGGCCATGTCACCCAGCCTAGATTTCCATCATCACATCCATTGCTTCCCTCTGAACTCCTTGTGATTACATTTGGCTCACTCAGATAATCTGGGATAATCTCCCCTTCTCAGGATCTTTGATTTAATCCCATCTGTGGAATCCTTGTGCCATGAGGGACACAGAAACGAGGGTGGCAGCATCTTCAGGGAGCTGTGAATCTGCATGACGCTCCTAAGCTCACAGGCAAGGAACCAAGGCTGGCACTCAGCCCTGCACTCCCAGAAGGAGCCAGACCTTCCCGATTGGGTTGTTTCTTCTTCCACGGGCAAAGACCTTGCTCAGACACCCGGCTCCTCCCCTGGCTGGTTCCTACTTAAACACAGGATGCCCTTATCTGGTGTTTTGTTTTTTGTTTTTATTTGTTTTTGGTACCGGGGATTGAACTCATGACCTCACGCTTGCCAGGCAGGCACCTGCACCACTGAGCTAAATCCCAGCCCCAATGCCCCTGTACTTTAAAGCACCTTCAGATGACTCAAGATACCTTAACCCATGTCTCTACCTTTACTGGCCAAGGAACCTTGGTGCCGCCATTTTTATTTCTCTGTCACAGAAAAACACCAAGACCTGAGGGAGACTCTACCTAAACCAAGTCCATCAAAAAGTACTTCTGGGTCCCAACAGTGGACCCCAGAGGGTTCCTTCCTGTCCCTAATTTGGCATCTTGACACAAACATTAATCTACTGGTGCAATAGTTTAATTTTTGTTTATAAAAAGGCTAGAAAAATTGAACAAATCACTTAAAATGCCTTAAATGAAAATAGCTAACACAGTTAGCAGATCAGGGCAGCAGCAGATGAGTGCCACTCATCGTTTGAGGTCTCTGTAGTCACAGAGGTTGGAGGAGAAGAGTTCTTGGCCTGGTATAGGCAGACACTAGCTGGAAAGCTAGTGGCCTGTCATTTTGTCCCTTGAGCCCCTCAACCATTGCAGTAAATACACTAATCAGATACTTCCCCTGTGCCCTCACCACTGACTGCACCTCACCCCCCCCCCAAGATCCTGTGAGACAGATGATGCCACCTCTGAGAGGAATCAGCCTTCAAAGAAACACATGATTATCACACGGGTAGCGCCAGCATCAAGATTCAGAGGCAGACCCTTAGCTACTCCACATCTGTTCAAGATGGGCATTCAACAACGTCATTTGGAAGCTTAAATGAGATGATGATTTAAAGCTCTGTGGGCAGGGGATTTAGGTGTAAGTACCTGCCTGGCAAGTGCAAGGTCTTGAGTTCAATCCCTGGTACAAAACAAAACAAAACTCTGTCGGAGGCTGAGGATGAAGCTTAATGGTAGAACACTTGTCTACTATGTATGTGCAGGGCACTAGGTTCAGTACCCAGCACTGCAAACAAAAACCAAAACAAGCTGTGGAAAATAAAAGGAGAAAAACCAAAGCCTTGTTGTTGGTCTCCGTTGCTTACCTAAGTCACCTATAGGTTGCACGGCTTGGGAACCCGAGTAATTAGAGACCTGCGCGGTTGGGGGTGGAGGGAAGATAGTTGTTCTCAGGTTAGTTAGTAATCACGGCGCTTTCTGGGTCAGTCCTGACAGAACGGGTCTGGAGCAAAGAAAGCATCTGGTTACCTCTCTGGGTTAGCATTGTCCCAGTTCCTTTTCTCACCTGGGAGCAGGAAGGGCTGGAAGGTCCTGGTTAGGCCATGAGGACGTCTGTTGGACTAGAGCCCCTTCAGCTGGATGCAGAGGCGCTGGGCCAAGAGGAGGAACACATGTTCTGGCCTCTGCACAGGCCGCCATGCTAATCCCACAATGCTCTTGGCCAAGATTTTTGGCCAATTCATTGTTCATGTCTCAGCCCAAATGTTACCTCTGTGCAGGTAACAGCTCTCTCCCTTTCGTAACAGCTTTCTCTCTTTGCCCTGTTTTATTTTCTTTCTTTCTTTCTTTCTTTTTTTTTTTTTTTTTTTTATTGGTACCAGGGATCGAACTCACAACTGCCTGCTTGCAAGGCAGGTGCTTATGCCGCTGAGCTAAATCCCCAGCCCCTGTTTTATTTTCTTGATCCCTATTAAAATTCATCTTTATAATTTTTTAATTTTCCATTTCTATACTCCTCTCAATCCCCAGATGAAAATAGATGTTTGTTGCATCTCCCAATCTGAAATAGTACATCGCAGACCCTCAATGAGCATTTGCAGAAAGGTAGGACCAGGGAGGAAGGAAGGAAGGAAGGAAGGAAGGAAGGAAGGAAGGAAGGATGGAAGAGTAAGATTTTAAAATAATCTCCCTCTCTCAAGAGTTGTTCCCTCTTCCCCAAACTCCTGTAAATGTTTTTTTTTTTGTTTTGTTTTGGGAATGATATGCAGGCCCAGGACTTAGAAGCTCAGCTCTTCTGAAGTATGGTCAGAGAGAGGGGTACAGCTTTCTGAAACTTCATAAGGAGATGATATTTTATGGCAGCAGGTATTGCAACCCCCTGGGGAAGAGTAGCAGAGGTGCAGGAGCCAGGAGAGGCCTGCAGGAGCAGCGAGAGCTACGGGGGTCCTGGCATGGCCCCAGCTGGCAGTGTGAGGCGTGAATCCCCAGAATAAGAAGTTTGGACAGAATCTCGCAGGAAATGGGGAGCCCTGAAGGCCAGGACAATGCATGGAGTCCTGGTCCCTCTGGTCACCAACAGCAGGTACAGAACCAAGCCTAGGGTTATGTGGTGATGTTTATGGTATTTATCTACATTGTGATCTAATAAAAATTATCACAAATTTTTTATATGGGAGATTGAAGCCAGGGCCTTCACACTAAGCTACATCCCCAGCTCTTTTTAAATCTTTAATTTTGAGAAAAGGTCTCACTAAATTGCCCAGACTAGGTTCAAACTTGTGATCTTCCTGCTTCAGCCTCCCACACTGCTGGGATTACAAATGTGCACCACCACGCCTGGCTGATCGTGAATCATTTCTTTAAGGTTACTGGAAGTACCTTCCCCAATTTCCAGTGTCAGGAAAATCAGTCATCTGAGAATAGTGATGCTTAGCAATAGGAAAAATACTCAGGCAGGTAATCAAATCCACAGCTGTGAATTTATACTGTATTTCCAACTTTTACTGAGCTATGCCCCACCTATTTTAAGTTCTTCAAAAATAGAATTTTTCCCAAAATGTGAGTTTTCAGTAAAGAATCAAACAAAACTTTATGTTGTTGTTACTGTCGCTGTTTTCCTGTTCTTTTCAAGACAGCTTCTCACAATATCATTCAGACTGGCCTCGAACTCTCGGTGATCTTCCTGCCTCAGCTTCCCGAGTGCTGGGATTACAGGCGTGCACCATCACAAGCAAATATTTCAGTGGCATTACCTGAACACTATTGTGCTCGCATCTGGAATTTCTAATAAAAATACCAGGCAACCTCGTTAAAAAAAAAAAAAGCACAGTGCTCATTTGGAGAAAATCTGGATCGCACAGATAAGCGGTTCTAACTGTAGACTTACTCAGGAAGTTTGTTTAAAAATTCTAATGTGCCGTCACAACCAAGGCCAGTTAGAGTCCAGCCAACAGGGAGGAGCACGTGGACACCATTATTCTTTCAGTGCTCCCAGCTGTGTCCAGGGAGCTCCTCACTGACCTATGGCAGCACAGAATAGAGAATCATCGGGAGAGATTTTTAAAGCATTAATTCCTGGGGCACCCAGCACAAGGATTCTGACCCACTTTTCAAGAGGACCTGGGTATTTCTAGGGAAGATCACCAGCTAAGTCCACTGCATAGCCAGGGTTGAAAATCTTTGGCCAAAAGCTACCTCCTTAATTAAATCAGCCCAGGCCAAGGCTGACCTTGGATCTTGCCTCTCCAATCCGTGAAGACTTTTTCTGCAGCCAGCAGAGATAGAGCAAGATGCAGCTTCACATTTTTCCGTTCTCATTTGCAAATGGGTTAAAATAGACACCGCCTTAAACTGCTAGCAGTTTGCACTTTCTGCAGATTTCCTGTGGCCCCGGGACTTTGCGAAATTACTGCAGGAGACTTCTGTGACTGTCAGAAGAAACACAAATACCAACAGACAGGCTAGACTCTTTCTATGGAACCATTTTCTCCTTTCTTGAGAGGCCATAGAACTTTCTAGTTTGGTTGCTATGCCATCCACCCGTGGTGTAATTAGCAGAGTGCATGGTAACAGGCTGGCCTCAAGCAAGCCAGGCTGGTGACCATCTCCAAAAGTAGTTAGTTGTTGGTGATATTAAAAGGAAAATTCCTTACTACACCTATTACATATACTCGAGTTTATTTGGGCTAATAAAAGAAGAATTTGCAAAATTGGGCAGCTCCCAGAACCAGAGTGGGTTCTGAGAATCCCCACTCACAATGTGCTCACACAGCATTTACAGAAAACACAAGTGAAGCAACCTCATGGGCTACAGCCGTCAACCAATCGGACATTACAGTTAACTAGTCACTTACAGCTTCACCAGTTAAATCACCCTGGACCTCCTGCCTCCAACCAACCAAAGCCCTGTGACCACACTAACGCGACACTGGTTTGGTCTCTTGGGCCCAGAGTAGGAACCCAGTTGGGACCCACGGCTTCCCACAAATTTTATTCAGCAGTGAGGAAGAAAAAAGAGAAAGACACCTTTGTGAGTGTGCCGCAGGAATCTAAGGGCACACGGTACAGCAATTCCAACCATGCAAGCCTTTGGGGAAGGTAAGCAATTTGCCAGGAGTCACAAAGGCCGGATTCAAAGCCAGGTGTCTGTGAGCCCAAAGCTGGTGTCTCCCCTGGGCTGTGTCAGCTCCATGTTGAAACAGGCCTGCAGTGGCTTCCTGGAAACCTCCCAGGCCAGAGATTCTTGGAAATTAGAGTACTGTGTCTTTTAGAAGGGTAAATACGTGAGTATTCCTACAGCCACAGACATGTAACAATACTGACAGCAAATGAGACCAAAAGCCCCACAACAGCTTTCTGTCAGTTCTGAAAGCTTATACTAACAAGTGTAAGATTTTTAGAGCTTTCAGGGATTTGGGAATTGCAGATAGTTGCAGGTTATGGGCAGGAGCATCAAAGGCAAACATTACACATGCTAGAAAAAACTCACTGGAAAGAAAAAAGAAAAAAAAGGCTTTGAACAGGGCACGTTAGACACTCTGCAAAGCTCTGTGCATATGTGATCCAAGCACCCGGCGGCGTGTAAAAAGTAATCCCTATTCTCAGGAGGCAGAGGCATGAATGGGTTAAGTAACAATAATAAAATCCCTTTATTTATTCAGTAGCAGTTGAACATTTCTGGATCCCCCCTTGTTTAGTGTTACAATATTTCTAAGTGCTGGCTGGGATCCGAAAGTCTTAGCTTTAAATCTGCCTCCTCTGAGGCTCTGAGTTTAACCACAAGCACTAAAAAATTCAGCTTGTGACCTCCTCCTAAAATCTCCAAAAACTACCATGGAATGAGAGTGGGGAGATTGAGGAAGGCTATTCCTCAGGTCTCTGCACGGCCATAAACAGTGTTCTGCCTTCCATATAGGCCAACTTCCTCTGTCCTGCTAACCTTTGCTTCCCAAAATGACCCAATAAAATTCCCAGCAGTGGTTTCCTACTATTGTGCTGAATATTTTTCAGAATGTACTCTAAATATTCTCAAAGACTTACCAAGAAGCATGGATGTCCCAATCATTACTGAAGTAGCCAGTGTTGAAATCACATAGCTGCTCAAAATTCTGGAAGAGCAATGTTGTTTGCTAAGGTAACCTATCATTTTATCACCATTAGAACTTAAAACTATTAAGCAAAATATAGAGAAAACGGTAGCTGCCATGTATTCATTTTGTGATTCACTGAACTTACTTATTTCAGGAAATTAGAACATCATTTTTTATAAAAGTCTTCTTTAAATTTTCATTTTTATTTACTTATTTTATTTTATTTTTTTTGCTGTATAAGGAGTGATTTTGTCTTACTTAGGTCATAAGACTGCCCAGATAATAATATCCAGGGGAAAGAAATTTCCCTATAGCAATTCAGTTAACAGAGACTTGTAACGAATTTATTTTTTCTTTTTTCTCTTTCTTTCTGTCTTATTTTCTCATTGCTGGGAGAAAATGCCTGACACCCACAAGTTAAAGGAGAAAAGGGCTATCTTACCTCACAGTTCACAGACATTTCAGTTCATAGGCAGCTGGCCCCAAGGCAGACAGCATGGTGGAGGAGAAACAGTCCATGGCATGGCAGGCAGGAGGCAGCAGGCAGGAGGCAGCAGGCATCAAGCGTGGAGGCGAGATGCAAACCACTCCAGGCCACACCCACAGTGGCCCAGCTCTTCCTATCAGGTTTCACCTCCCAGCATCACTTCAGCTATAAACTCATCAGTAGACCAATCCAGTATCACACACCATGATCGTACACCCCCATCTACGAGCACACGAGGCTTTGGGTGGACATCTATATATAAGTTATAACTCTTCCTTCCTTCCTTCCTTCTTTTCTTTCTTTCTTGCTTTCTTTCCTTTCTCCTCTCCTTTCTTCTTTTTTTCCCCTCCTTCTTCCTTCTTTTCTTTCCCAGTGTTGCTGGGAGTGAGCCCAGAGCCTCAAGCATGCTAAACAAGCCCTCTACCACTGAGCTGTACCTGTAGCCCTTAAATTTATTCTTCAATAATAGTAAATAATATCTGCCTTTCTACTGGGTTGGTTTGCCTAACAGTATGATTTACTTTCTTCTTCACAAAGCTCCCCCTGGTGTTTGATAAAGTCTAAATTTTCCCCAATTCTTGAGTGCTTCTAATTGTCCAAAAAAGCTATCTATTGATGCCTCACATATTGTAATCAAAGCTGGAACTTTTGGCTAAACGTTGAAAATGTTGTATGTATCCATTTGGCCCTCCAGAGGCACAGATTCTGTACCTGTGTGCTCACCCAGCCCAGGATCAAAAATATTTGAAGAGATTAGAAGAATATTGAGCATGTACTAAAAGCGGGATGGTTTCAGCATCAAATGGTTTCAGCATCAAATGGATTGCATTTATTGTGAGCTTTATTTCTATTGTTAATACATTAGATTCTCATAAGAAGCACGAAGTCTAACTCCTTCACACGCACAGTTCACAGTGGGGTTCTTCTCGCTCCTATGAGGACCTCATGCTACCCTGATCTGATGAGAAACAGAACTCAGGTGGTAAATGCAAGCAACAGGGAGTGGCTGTAAATACAGATGAAGCTTCTGTCACTCAGCAGCTGCCCACCTCCTGAAGCCTGGTTCCTAACAGGCTGTGCACCAGGACCACTCTGAGCCCTGGTGTTGGGACACCTGGGGTAGGCTGTTCCTCCAACCTCACACCGTAAACCAGGCAGTCATGGCAGAATGATGTCACTTGAGTCTAAGCTTTCTCCAGGGCAAGTCGCCTCATCTCACCAATTATTCAGTAAATATCTGTAGATCACTAATCCACGCCAGACTCTCTCCCTGTGCTAGGCACACAGTGATGGTTCCTGGCCTCATGGTCCTTTTAACTGAGAGGGTCTCAAACCTTGGTGTGCAGCAGGACCTTTCAGGGGATGGTAATGCTGCCAGGCTGGGCCTCCTAATTTGAGAGTTAGCTGCCAAAGAGGACCACAGTCCTAATAGTTCAGTTAGTGCTCTGAGAAGTGGGCAAGTTGGGGCCCAGACCAAAGACCCCAACCTCACATGGGAGGTGGAGGGCATTTCCCTAGTCACATTATATGTAATCAAACCTAAGATCCTGGATTACAAGAACACCGACTCTTTTTCACATCTTAACATCATCGAAATCAAACCGACTCCCTAACTAATATTAGTTAGCATTTATTTTTATTTCTGTCACCTTTATGGGTATAAATGGTTTGATCTGAACCCCCAGCCATGCTGAGTGTCTCACCGTGTGCCCGCTGGCCATTCGTGTGTCTTCCCTGCAGCACTGTCTACTCAGGCCTGTTGCCCACCTGCCACTGAGTTGTGAATATTCTTCATACACTCCGGAGAAAAGTCCCTTCTCAGATGTATGATTTGTAAATATTTCTTCCTACTCTGAGTGTTATCTTTTCACTTTACTAATGTGATTTTGAGTCACAAAAATGTTTTTAATGTAGATGAACCCTAATTTACCTATAATTTCTTTATTGCTGACACTTTTGGTGTCCTAAGAATCCTTGGCCAAATCCAGTATCATAAAGGTGTCCCCCATATTTCTTTTGAGAATTTTGTAGTTTTTGCTCTTAAATATATGTATTTGATTTGTTTTGAGTTACTTTTTTGTGCATGAGAAAGGGGGTCTGTCTTGGTTACTTTTCTTTCATCACTGAGACAAAACATCAGACACCCAAAGTGAACAAGGAAAGGTTTATTTAGCTTACAGTTTTTTGGAGGTTTCAGTCCATACTCAGCTGGCTCCAAGGCAGGGTGGTATGGCTGAGGGCCAGCCGTTCATGCCAGTTACAAGTAGTAAGAGTGGAAGGGGAAAACACAAGCCTTCTTTCCTCCTTTACATTGTTTGTTTGTTTGTTTGTTATTGTTGTTGTTTGGTACCGGGGATTGAACTCTGGACCTCGAGTTTACCAAGCAGGCACTTACTCCTCTGAGCTAAACCCCCGGCTCACCCCCCCTTACGTTGTATGCTGGCTCTGCCCCTAAGTGGGTACAACACTCACACCACCACTAGACTAACCAATCACAAGCGCTGGACTCAGCTGCTTCCATGACTGCATGAGGCTTGGGGGCCACCTAAACACAAACCATAACAGGGTCCAACTTCATTATTTTGCATTTGATTGCCCACTTATCCTATCTGGTTACCATTAAAAGAATTGAGATGTGTTATGTACATGTTCAACCCTCCACCATGAATATAATCATTATGTTACTGCAAATATGTGCTAATAAGAATAAAAAGTTTAAAAAAATAAGCCAGGTGTGGTGGTGCACACCTGTAATCCCAACACTTGGGAGGCTGAAGCAGGAGGATCATTGTGAGTTCAAGCTCAGCTTAAGCTCTATTGTGAGACCCTGTCTCAAAAGAGAGACAGAGACAGAGAGAAGAAAAAAGAGAAACATATTTATCCTTCTTCCAACATCCACCATCATTTGGATGACCTGACCTTGTCAAAACTCAGAGGACCATAGAGATATATATTTCTGGACCATTTGATCCTAGCCACACTGTCTTCAATCCAATTTCTGCCTAAATACTGTTACAGTGTCTCATTCAATGGCTTTTGCTTTATTGATGTGAGAATGAGAAAGAATGGTCAGTGTTCCTTCTGTTTTCAAAGTGCAGCTGGGATCAGAAGCACTCACACTGGGAACTTGCTAGAAGTACAGTAAGGTGATTCCTCAAGAAGCTAAAACTAGAAATTCCAGTCGATGCAGCTATTCTCCTTCTAGGAATCTTCCCAAAAGAATTAAAGATTTTATGTTACAGTGATACATGCATACACATGTCTAGAGAAGCACAACTCACAATACCTAACCCTTGGAAGCAGGGGCTATGTCCATCAACACAAGAATGGAAAAGAAAATTTGATGCTCATACACAATGGCATAAGGAATAAATTAGTGTCATTTGCAGGAAAATGAATGTACCTGGAGGCCACAATGTTCAGTGAAATAAGTCAGATACACAAGCTTAAATATCACATGGTTTCTCTTACATGAGAAATTCAAAGTGTATAGAAAGCAAAGAGCAAAATAAAATGTAAACAATGGGAAACTGAGGTAGATTTTTTCTTTTTTAGTCAGGGTCTCAATATGTAGTTCAAGGTGGCCTTGAGCTTGCTTATGTAGCCCAAACTGGCCTGGAACTCGTGGCAATACTCCTGCCTCAGCCTCCTGAATGCTCGGGTTACTGGCTCGTGCCACCATTCCTGGCTGGGGATAGAGCTTTTGCAAACAGGAAAAGGACCGAGAGCTGGAGGGAGGGGAAGAGATGCATAAAGAAGTCTGATGTGGTATGTACATGTACCAGCTCCCCACGATAAATATAATCCTTAGGTACAGCAAACATCTACTAACAAATTAACATTTTGAAAAAAAGAAATGCAAATTCCCGGCCCCTGCCCAGACACGCTGAATCCCAGGAGTGGGATGCTCTGGCATAAACAAGCCTCTGCCGAGGACACTTCAGGCCAGAGCACCGCGTCTGTCGGTACCTTACAATGCAGGCTCCCTACAGAAGCCATCAGCCTGTGCCCAGCTATGGTGCACAGTGAAGGTGCCACGCCTTGCTGGGAGCCCCACCGCCTTCCCCGGGGTGCTGAGATGCCAGGCCCGGACCAATCCTAGCATCTCCCGTCTCAGCCCTGGCTGAGCTGTGCAGCACAGACAGATGGGCAGGAGCAGGGAGGAACCTCAGGAGCCAAGTGCTACCGGGGGTGCAGGCAGTGGGGATCACAGACACCACGAGTGCAGTCATTAGGATGGGACTCCCCACTCTAGGTGATTTCCTGAACCTTCAAAACATTGTTACTGTGATAAAGTGCACAGAACTAAGTGT